CGAAAATAGTTTATCCTATATGAAGTACAGGTCAGTATAAAACATGGACTGCGGACTGCGGACTACGGACTGCGGACTGGGTATAAAATACGGACTAGGTATAAAACGCGGACTAGAAAATACGGACTGGGTATAAAACACGGACAAGGTATAAAACGTGGACTGCGGACTGCGGACTGGGTATAAAATACGGACTACGGACTACTTTGGTAAAAACCGTGCAAATTGGCTCTAGGTAAGGAAAAATAAGATCAAAAGATCGCTAAATAGCAAGACACGTGAGTTAAAGTTGTAAATACTCTTATAGATTCTTGGTGGAGGTGTCCCGCCCGGTTCTCTGAATCATGAGCCGGATCAAAATGCTATTTTCTTCACCCATTTTTAGACCTTGTCTTGGTCTCTAACAATCATGAAAGGGGTCAGGATCAGGGGGGTACTCCCTTATATAATGGAAGGGTAGGAGTTTTGGGCCTTTTTGGTCTGAAAACACTTTGCCCATTTTGGTGTGGAATCGGGTATGGTTTTCGAGGGAACAACGGGAGCGTACATGAATGGACGTATTTATCGTTTCAATTCAAATGAATAAGAACGAAATAGAAATGTGCGAATTCGAAATGCATTTGGAGAATTTTTTGTTTCCGCTCTAAGTTGGTAATGATGACAAAATTTCTGCCTAATCATACCTAACCTGTTCAAGGATCTAAGATAGTTGGGTCCGATGAATTGAGAAAGCGAAAACACGAAAATAAAACGGGAGAAAACTGGGGAGTCTCCCCAACTATCTGAGAACCTGGAACAGGCTAAATTAGGCCAGGTCCGAAAATGGGTATGGATTTTAGAGATCTAGTCTGAAAACGGGTGTGGAAAATGACAATTTTTTGGTCTGCAATAAGGTCAGGATTCGGGGAACCGGGCACTACACCCCAACGAAGAATTCCCAGTAGTACCCTTCCGGGGATCAGGAGCAGGGTGTAAATCATGTCATCATAATCATCACTTAGAATATAACGTTGAATGACGCATTTCGGTTATTATTCACGTATGTGAGTAATCCCTCGCACCTAAATACTGCTTTGTGCATCGCATTGACCTTCTCGTCTGAGTTCTTCATTCAGTCCTCATATTCCCAAGGCTTTATTTGAAACGGAATTGTGGCGTCCGATAAGAATTTTACTGATCTGACTAATACCAATACTATTTTTTTTTTAATTCGGTGCTTCTTATTGGTGTAAAACTGCAAATTGAAATCTCTTCAAACTCCTTCTTTTCATAAAATTCAGAGTTTAATTTCAGTTGCCTTGAGTACCGGCATAACCTTCCTTCTCCATGGGAAGAATAGACTACGTGAACAGCGTTAAAGCTGGGACTACTGTTTTTGCTAGTCCGCTTTCTATTTCTCTCAGTTTTACCTTCTAAAGCTGTTTTTATATACATAGTCCGTAGTCCGCGTTTTATACCTAGTCCGTGTTTTATACTCAGTCCGGAGTCCGCGTTTTATACCTAGTCCGTATTTTATACCCAGTCCGCAGTCCGTGGTCCGCAGTCCGCAGTCCGTGTTTTATACTGACCGTATGAAGTACCTAGTAACTGACCAGCCTGCCTGAAGTCTCAAGAAGCAAGATGGCGACTGTAGGAGGGAACTTCTGATAAATTCTCATCGCTTTCCAAGGTAAAGAAATCCATATTTGCAAAGTGGCTGTTTCATAGGCTATAAGTGATGATAAGAACATCATTTTTAGCCAAATATCGACCAAATAGTACATTAATTAAACTTGTAAGTGTGAAAGCACGTTGCAGGCTCAAAGTTTCTGTCTGTTTTACAGTGCCTGGGCTTGTTACTGCAAAAGAAATTATACAGCACGGTGTCGCAGGGTTTGAAATTTTTTTATGTGATCGGCTTATAAACAGCACAAAAATAGTGGTATTCTCAGTATCATATCATATGAATTTTAAACTAAAGCTACAAAGCAAAGGATTGTACTAAAAACATTTGGGGGCATACCTGTGCTTAAATTTCTCCAGAAGCTTGCTTTAGATTTTCCATCTATTTGTCTATAATTTTTTCTGGGACTTTCTCCCCCACAAATGTATAGAAATTTAAAAAGTGGTTCTAGGTCTTCTGGTGCATGTAACACCCTGAATTTTTGTTCAGTAGACTCCTTAGGAGTGAAGCTTTAGTTTACAGTTCATGTTTTTTCCAGAACAGCGTTCTACAGAAATTATTCGACATAAGATTCTCATACAAACACTGTAATTTCTCATGCATTTACCTACTCATCAAGAATTGCATCGAAAACCGTGACAAGGTCTATTGTTAAAAGATTAAAACTTTTTTTGAATTCTAATGGTGAAAGGAAGCTCCTGAAGTAGGGTATTGCAAGAGAATACAAAATCTTGTTGACAATTCATCAAACAGGAAGGACGTTTTCATTGAATATTAATTTAAGAGAATGTTATGGTTTTCCCTGCACTGAAGACATTTTTTTTGTCATCATGTGTATGTTGTTGTTCAATTTTAGCCTTGGTTTAATTATCATTTTTCTTTGTTTTATGTTATCATACCCAAAAACAAAGGAAAGAATATTAAACCAAGGACAAAATTGAACCACAACATGTACATTCTTTTCAGCAATAATAATAATAGTATTAGGCTCACTTGAAATCCAGATCTTAATGTTCTCTGACTTTTTTGAAACCACAGTTTGTCTGTACTATACTTCTACATTTATGTACGAACTGGTAGATAACAAGTACTGTATTTTCTCAATAAAGCACCACAGATAAAGATGGAATCCATCAGGAAATTGAGGACCATTTTAATTTTCAGTGGAAAAAAAACCTTGCATCAGAATATTTTAGGCCATATCGCATTCTTTTTTACACTTTTCAAGGGCTATAGATGTAATTAGTTATCTGTAATGACACAAAAGACAATTTCTTATGGGAGGCGGAGAAAATATATTTCAAAGTTCACAGGAATTGAGAAAACGTAGGTAAATTTGTAAAAACGCCGTCCATAATATTTTATTTAGTGAAAGTTAAAGCTTTTGAAGTTTTTCAAATAACTTATCACATTTATAGCCCTCAAAAAGTGCAAAAAAGAATGCTATATGCTTGAAATTATTCTGTTCGAAGGATTTTGTCCACTGAAAATTAAAATTCCGTCTTAATTTTCTGACTTGTTGGTGCTACTCAATTTGAGGGCAATACTTCAATGTATCTACAATTTCCTGTTTGCAAATAACAAAATACTACAAAATCCTTTGAACAGTGTATGTACAATTCATCAGCATATGTACTATTTCCTTTTTGCCAACACAGTTGAGCCCTGCTTTACAGACACCTCATTGTTATGGACACCCACTTAATACAGACACCTCATTGTTACGGACAGTTTTCCTTGTCCCTAGTCCTTACAGCTTCCCTAAATTCAACCCGCTTAATATGGACACTTTCAATGGCTCCCTCAGTGTCCGTGTTAATGGGGTTTCACTGTAATAAAATGCTACAAAATCCTCCATTCGTTTTCCTTGTTTTGTTAAAAAATGTTGGATAACAATCGCATATAAAAGGAAATTTTGAAGGTCTGTGTCTCTTACTCCCCTTACCAGATCTAGCAGTAACATTCTCACCATTTCAGCAATAAAAACAGTAAAAATCAACCAGCACTGCAATGTTTCTGTAAGAATGTGGTGCTTATTTGGAAGTGGTGCATTTTAGAGGGGTGGCACAATTTTGAGTAAATATAATTCATTAGACAGTCAGGGGTCAGTTCAGTAAAGCTTTGACAGGTGTAGCTATTGTTTTAAAACTGTAAAGGACTAGCTGCACTCACAGAATTAACCACAGATTTTTTTTTATTTCTCTAATGTTATCTTTCAAGTGGCTGAGGTGGAAAAATCTGTTAATTTTTATTTTTTGACAGCTAATCAGAAGAAATTTTATAAACGTTTTAACCATGGAGGTTTTGTAAAAAGTATTATTGGTGAGAAAAGTCCTTCTATCAATTGCTGTGTTTTGTGTATTGGGTAGCTTTTAAATGCTGTTGTTTTGTAGCTGAGAGTTTGCGACCTCAGAGTTTTTAGATCATGCAGTCTGTGTACCAAATGAAAGTGTCTTAATAGTTCTAATTGCAAGGCAACGCCACTGAAATCCTTTAGAACTCTTCCAGTGTTGGGGACCTCTGTATGAAAAATGCCTGGAGCTTGTGAATTGATTCTTATCAGTTGCCCAATTGATTTTTTTTTTAGTGTAATCATGTTTCTTATTTTAGCCCTAGCCTAAAAACATATCCTTGTAACATTTTAATTCAGGCATGACAAATCAGTACAGTGTAGGTAGTATTTACTAAGAAATACAGATGTCAGAACAGTGTGTCTGGCAATCCATGTCTCTTAGTAAATTGTTTAAGTTTTTTCATTCGCTGAATTTTCTTCAATATTGACCTGGTTAACACCAAACTTGAGAATAAATTGTTAAGCTCAGTGTCCTCTATCTGACTGTGTTAGTCTCGTTTTGGTTATCTCAGAATATAGGGATTCATAACTAGCCTTCCTTGGTTTTTAATTAGTCAACAGTCCATTGTACAGTTACAAGTGAAAACGAGGCTCGAGTTGACCTGGTTTTCATGCTGAAACCTTCCTGCTTTATTATGTAAATCATGTTGTTTTTATGATAACTAGTATTTTGTAAGTATAATCTCCATTAGTAAGAAAAGGAGAAAGGTTTGTATCAAAAGAAAGTCAACTTTAGCCTTAAAGGCTAGGATACAAGTCCAAAACTGTGAAATGGTCTATTACCCTGCAGCCGTTTTATCGGCTTATGATGATACAATAGGGGTGCCTCAGGGCTCGATATCAACTTTACCCTAAGTGGCCCTGCCATAAGAACATTATCGATTTACCCTTGATTTCAAATATTACCGTTTATTAGTTTTCTTAATTGAAAACTAATTTTTAACTTATTTTTCTTTATTTAAGAAAAAATTACTGGCTGATATCATGTCAGGAGTGAAGCCAGTTAACTCTTCTGATTCTGACAGTGATGACTCAGATGAATTTGGCCTTGAATCACTGTTCCAAGTTGAGAAAAACCCTAAGTGGCTTAGTTTTGACATGTGGGGATGGTGTCGCGCAGATAACTGGCAACAAATATTGGAAAAAAACCAAAGATTTAAACCTGCTCGGGTTTATCTCATGAAGCTGGTCATTGACTACTTGAACAGCATAAGCGTAAACTACTACGTATACGGCGGCACGGCACTGTCTGTGTATCGAGAAGGCGGGAAAATAATTGAACACGATGGTGATATCGACGTTGCTATTATGGAGACTGACTTTGCCAATGTTGTTAAGAAGATAGACTCCTGTCAAGCCTTTACAGACGGTGAAATTGTTATGGAATATCAAAACATAAACCGAGGTCGCAGTTGGTTTGACGCTGACGGAACCGAAATACCATTTAATGGATGTGGAGCAAAGAGGATAAAATTTTTTGCAACAAAAAAACTTCTCTCGCTGCAGTTCGGAATCCCAGATGATGAATTAATCAGCAGAGATCTCGTTCACCTGGACGTTTTTACTCTCAGTCAACATCCAGATTTTTCAGATTGCTTTTGTGTTAACTGGAACATTCCAGGCCATTATGATTACAGAAAGAAGGCCTTCCCAAAATCCATCTTTTTCCCCTTAAAAAAATACAGTTTTGAGGGGCTTGGGGTAACCGGAATGAACGACCTTAAGACTTATTTGGAATTGGAGTATGGTTATATAGGCCGCGGTGCAATTTTCGACCAAGAAACACAACTTTATGTGAAAATACCAGAAAACATATGTGAAAAGCTTCCGGAAAAAGTTCAACGTGACATGATTCCTGACTCTTGATATTTAATTTTTAAAATAACGAAAATCCCTAGGTCTTACCTCCCGCGTGAGATAGGGAAGAGAAAAGATTAGCCTGTTAAGTAATGACTTCGCGCCTTTTAATTTTGCCCCTTTGATTTCAAATGCGCGATGCACGTGGCAACTTAGTATCTAAAACGTCACCCACATACAATTTGTGCGGCGCACTCAATGCATAACGAAACCAGGTTAAATCCCATGCAAAGTGTGATGTTTCATTTTGTATTTAGTGGGAGCGTTTTTGCTAAAAGACACTGCATGAGACTGATTTTTTATTTATTTATTTCAGTGAGTATTTCGTAATAAAACACAGGTGATATCGCACTCAATATCTGTAGCTTGATTCTGTTATATTAATATTCACTATACCACTTCCAGTTCCACAATACAAGGGTGGGGCTCATTTTTGAAGGGGAAATTCTGGCGGGAGCTTTCCTTTGCTGGGAGTAAATTAGCCGGCCACACCTTACTTTTCATGAGCTATGTTTGGCTCACTTGACCATCTGTGGGCCAAATAAATTAACCTGGTTTACTTCCGACAGGTAATACACAAATTATTCTGAAACAAAAAAGTAACAGCGTCAAAAAGGATTAAAAACGGATTTTGCAGGAACAGGAGAGGTAATCATAGTCGCTCAAAACAATGCCAAAGGGCTGTGTTCGAATACAAGACTGGTAAATTAAAAAATCATTTCAAACTGACTAGAGAGTGGATCAAGTGTAGTATCCAAGCTTTAATATGGTTAAAAAATGTCATACATTCTTAGCTTACTATTGCTTTTTTTGGCAGTGAGCCAGGGGTAATGACTGATATGTTGTTCTATTTAACTGCTCCCGCCAATGAACGTGTCTAGCGAAGAAAAATAAGGTGCATAAGGGATTATGGGATGGATACCCCCGCTCCCTTTCCCTCCAAGGAATTCTTTACCCAGCTAGGACCTGGAACCTGCATCGTTCCTACTCCACACACCTTGTTTCTTTGAGTATTTTATTGATGTACCGACAAAAGAGTCACTTCGTGTGAGGTGCTGTTTATATTAAATGCCCAGGCAAAATACGATCAAACAACTACAGCAAGTCTTTTCATCTGTTCACTGATAGTGAGAAACTTCGTTTTCATTTATTCAAACAGAAATACACAAAATTAAGGCAACGGAACAAGAAAGAAAAAGTGTCACGTTGTTAAAATTCCAGACTTATTACTGAGTTAAGTCGCGAGTAAAAGCCCCGTTAAAAGAGACTTAACTTTGCAGAAATTGCCAATGATTCACAAAATCAATCCCACAGTAAAAATGATTCCGCTGACAACAAAGACGGATCGGGCGCTTGTGCTAACACCCAAGCTCTCGGTCATTGGTTTGGGTTTGACTATGTCAGCTTTGTTGCACATGTCCGAATCACAGCATGCCACGCCACACTTGGTCACTTCAAATCCGGGGATTTTGTTGATGAACTTCCTAAAGCCTTCACGACCACAATTATCGGTTTCGATTTTGGAACATCCGATGCTCTGCAAGAGAATAGAACGAATAACTGAAAATTGAGACCCGTTAATTCAATTGCTGGTTATCCTTGTCAGAATAAAGACTGAACCACAAGAGCTAAATGAGCTTTCATCAGTACCGGGGGTAAGTCAGCCAAGGGGAATTAATGCAGTATAAAATTAAATGCTTATAAGGTGGTAGCACGCTGAATTTTTTCTGAATAAAATGCCAGCAAGGAAAGCGATATAAACCAGGGATCATAGAAAATATTCAGACACGACGAGATTCGAACTACCCACCTCTGAGTTAGATCTTCCTGCGCCGGTGTAAGCTTAGTACTGAGCTATCAAGCCCAATCAGTGGAGCAATGTGCTGGAACACAACCAAGCGTAACCGAAGCGCGAAACGCTAGGCTGCGCCGAGTTAAGAGTCTGTTCTCATGGAGGTGGGGGACCCAAGGTAAGTAAGGTAACCCGCTTAGGTGGGGTAACCCGCCTATTCATATAATCTCTTATATGGTTACACCACCTATCATGAAAACGTGATCAAATTAAAATAAAGGGAGTACCCTCACCTACCTGGGGTTCCCCAACTCCTGGTAAACAGGCCCTAAATCAGTTCAGGACGCAGCTGTCATCAACCAGGTAACGCTAATAGTGAACATGCTTTAATACACAATGCATGATGCTCGTTTGTCAGTTTGTCATGTTGTTTAGCAGAGCAATACTCACCTTTTGGCCACAGGTCATCATATACGCTGATTTTTCGAGATTTCCTAGTTTGGACTTGATTGTCAGAGCAGTAGACACGCAGGTGTCGAAGATGCCTGAGCAGTTTACGGCGTTAGTAACGTTGGACAAGGTCTTGTCACACAAGGAAGCAATACTTTTAATCTTGCAGTCATAGCACCGTATTCCCAAAGCTAAACAAAATAAAACAAGAAAATCATTCCCTATACGAAGAAAATATTTGTACTATTATTCCACTTCGTAAACGACATATCAGTATGTTCAGTATACTTTATAAAATGATTGGTCGTAAAGTGTGCACGCATTGTGCTGACTCCTAAGATATTTTGCAATTATATGACAATGGTTTGGTTGGCTTAAAATGTTTACACAAAAATACATAGCCAGAAGAAACTCGTCTCTTTTTTGACCAAAGGTTATTAGTTTACATAAAGTAAACCAACTGATCGAACTTCGATTCGCCATTTTTTAACTCTCTCATAGCCTAAAGCTCCCGCTTGCCGGTTTATTACACCGGCTAACCAATGGAAAGTCAGCTTAAGTTTTTTTCCTTGTATTGAACCTGAAATGTAATTTTCTAGGAGAACATTTTGTTTTAGCCTGTTCCAGGCTTTCAGATAGTAGAACGGGGCGGTCAGATGGTGGGGATCGAGCGAGATTTATTGTACTTCGGGGAGAACGGTTTTGTCATAAATTTTTCTCCCGCGCTCTCATTGTTCTGAACGCCTGGAACAGGCTAATGTTGTTTGGTCTTGTTGATTTCACTCATGAAGGTTACTGGTTCTTAGAACAGTGATGAACAACTAAAGAAGGCTTAAAGATACTCTTGCTCTAAATTCGTCTTATATTCCTTGTTTAGATATTTTTCAATTCATCATCCCTCATACAAACTTTATGTTAAGGTTTTTCGACATATTATACACTATTACTCTTGTCCAATCGCTATACAATTTCACCAATGATTAACTATCTGAAGTGAAGTTGTTTTTGAGTAAAATCGATATCACTATGACAACAATAAACAAAAAACGTCGAAATTGGTAAAAGCCCGTAAAAGCTGCTTTTAAAAATCCGACACCGGGGACTTAAAGTGTGGTATTTCAGTAGCAAATAACCTCCGTGAGAAGGAAAAAATTCTGTATGTTTTAATTCAAATTAAACGCAAATATATTTCAAACTTTATATTTTCAATAGCCGTGATAAATTGTTTAATTAAAAGTTCTAAATAATTCAAATTAATTAATCTTAAGTAGTGTCAGAATGCTGGTTAATATCATAATTCACTGCTTGGAAATGTTAGTGTATTTCCTGAGATCTAACCGGTTATCTCAGCGCAATGACTAGATTTCTATTTGAGTTTTATTGCATTTTTTTAATGTAAAAAAATTGATAATATTCGCACTGAAATATACCCATCATGGAGGTATGTATGGTCTGCTTTAATTTGGAAAAATTAGCGTCAAAGCATTGAATGTAATGCACCGCGGATTTTTTTGGCCTGGGAAGGTTTCTCTTGAAATTTCAAGGTATTGCGGTGAATCAATCTTAATGAAAGTTTCCTTCATTATTGTATACATCGTGGAGATTATGTGACGAGGTTCAAAAGGGATTCTTTCGAGCCGTTCTAGAGATCTACAGAAGAGTGCTAAAAGTCAAAATGAAAATAAAGCTGCACTTGGCCGGATCACGGAGGAGAAAACAGGTTAGGTTTTCAGGATAGCAAGAAAGAAAATACACCAAAATCTCCGAGCAGCGAAATATGATATTAAACAGCATCTTGACGCTTCTTAAGGTGAATTTGTATTATTTAGTCCTTTTTTATTTTAAGCAATTCATCACGGCTATTGAAAATATAAAGTTTGAAATATATTTGCCTTTTATTTGAACTTTCAGAATTTAGTTCCTGACGTCGGCTTTCCAGCAGTGGGTCGAACACGGAGTTTTATCGATTTCAAACTTTTTTCGTTTATTGTTGTCATGGTGATATTGATTTCACTTAAAACTACAATTTTGACAAACTTCAAACCAAAGTCAGTCAGTGGTGAAAATTTCATAGCGATTGGACAAGGATAAAATTACTTATAATTTAAGGCGATTGAAAGATATCGGTGTGGTCTCCGAAAAACTGTATCGAAACAACCGGACGTGACTCTCAGTAATAAATTGTTCAGATTTTTCCTTACCCTTGGGAGCGCGGAGTAAAACAGTGTTCACCATTATTTTCTGGCCATTAAATGAAGCTTGTTAGGAGGAGACAAAATAGTCTAAGCGAAACTCTAAGAGATGAATACGTTTTTAATTCTTTTAATTCTTGTCAAAATTATTTTCTTGTAGGTTGCATGACTATAAAAGAGCGCCAACGCCCTGGAAAAATCATAAGTCTTTTAATTTTCGAATGGAGTCTTTGAATTCCACCGATATTTTACCATCGAGCGTCATGTGTTCTACTTAATGTGCCTTTTATAAGGGTTAGCCTTTGTCATCTTAATTGTTCTCTGTGCCTTCAAATTTGCATCGTTTACAAAAGAAGCATCTCCTGAATTACTGGCATTATACTTTACTGTTAAAAATGCCTTTAAGAAGCTTCTAGAGAGTTGCGCTAAAATGAAAGAGAAATACCATTGGCTTTTACCTAAAGCTTGTTTTAAGTATACACCGGCCGGTTAAGTCAGAAATGTATTGAGAATTCATAACAAATCTAGTTCATACTTGTTTAAAGCACTTTTTTTTTCAGCTTATGTTTTTGTAAAGAAATTTTCTTTAAAATTCTCTTCGTTATATTGAACGGCTTTTAGACTTTCAATTTCACTTAAATAACGTTAATCAGACTGAACCGAATTTTTTTTGGCTTTTTTCTTGGGAGTCGTCGAGTTTAGAAGAGGAGATGTAAATTTGCTTATACTTACAATGGGAAATAAAATTTCAAAAGAATTGTTTTGTTAATTGAAAGCAGTGATTAAACGAGGATTTGAAAACAACATTTTGAACATGAACTAGGATTAGCATATGGAAGTTCACACCTTTTAACGAAGCGAAAAAGTTCTAGAAAGCTTCCAGTAAAATTCTCGAGCAAATAAATCATTTAGTTTGATAATGAATTTTGCGCACTATTTTTTGCACTTGATTTGTGGAAGGGCAAAAGTATGATAAGCACTTGAGTGAATTAGTTGATATAAAGCCCAACGCAGATAAATTATAACTTAGTTGCTTGATTTGTCAAAGGAATGTTGACCAAGTTTTAAAACGGGCTTATAGCATTCAATTGGTTCTAGAGATGTTGATCACAGACTAAAACGTTACATCCTTAAGTCAAGGACAAATGAATTAAACGTTTCCTCTTGGTTGAAAACACTAATTACTGAGTAAATCTTAAGTGGGCAGGGACTATAGAAGTAGGTAGTTAAATCTGAAATTAGGCCATTTACAAAGCGGTTACCATAATTTACGACGGAAAAATGCCGCGTACAGCTGTAGATCGAGAACGGTTCAGCTCATAGAGTTAATGTAGATTATTTGTTATTTTCTCATAAGTCAGTTCTCAATGTTATACGGTTGATATTGACAAGTCGCTATCAACCGTTTAATAGCTCGGTTAATTTGTTTAGTTTAAAGTAGCACGCATTAACAAAACTGAGTGGATCTGGGAGATTGCAAAACATTTGAAATAATTCTTCCTTTTGAAAATCATTTAACCATCTAATAAATTTTTACATTTTTCTGTATCAACTGCAAAGCCGTTATTTACTGAAATTATAGAGTCAATTAAATACCAGCATTTCAAGGGGAGTACTTACCATAGGGGACAGCAACGACGACGAAAATAATCAACATAAAACCTTTCATATTTGCTCTTGAATTTGACGATCAACGGAAGTTTTGTGATTAACGTTTGATCTACAAGAGTGCAGCTCCAGCAATGAATGTTAAGTTATGCGGACAGGAACTACAGTAGCTTGGTATCAAGCGGCAAGCTTTGCCGGCGCACCTTTTTTGTTGTTTTGTTTGTTGTGTATGGATCCGGATTGGCTGCAAGTCAAATCAAAGACAGCATGGTCACAAGGGGCACGCGGAGTTCAGGGGAATGTGGGGAAAAAGAGCGTCGAAAAGGAAAAACAAAAACACTCAAAAGTAATTCCATCAAACCTATGATGCAATGTTTTGCCGGCAATTAGAGATGCCCACACTGGAAAGATAATTCTACTTTATTATGTAGATTTCAAAAAGTTGAGTAAATTAACAGGGTATTGGTAATATCTCAAAACTTTCAAAGAGAGTTGCGCGCCTTCGGCTTCCATTCCCTCAAACAGACGATTGATTGGCTAAACTTACTTCCTCAAGAAAATCATAACATGGATTTTTAATGAATATGTATAGTGAAAGGTTTATATTAATCATCGACAGTTCATGCAGCCAATAGAAAATTCATTACACAAAGAGAAGACAAATGCAGTTGGTTGATGACACCAGAAATATAAGTAGTCAATAGCCGTTTTCAGTAAAAGAGACGAATTTCTTAGCCTCAGACGGATAATTCGTCTTCAAAATCCCTCAAATAGAAGGATAATCTTCCACTGATAAATGAATAATATATAATAAGAAGAAGTAACTTATATAGCGCCATTTTTACTAGTTAACCAATGACGCTTAACAAGATTACTAAAAAAACCATAAGAAAAATCTAAAAGGAACGGCTTAATAAAAAAGTCTTAACTCTATTCTTATGTAAGAACTCAAGCATGCTCTAGTTCTTATTTGGTCTGGTAAATTATTCCAGAGTGAGGCGGCAATGATCGACTGAAAAAGCGCGCTTTCCATAGGACTCGAAATTATTCTTGACGTACTAGCAATAATCCCTTGTTGGTGGAGCGGAGCGTTCTGCTTAGGTGTATATTTAACTAAAGAGTCTGTTAGGTAAATATGATCGTTTTCTTTTTTGCGTACGCGAGGACACAAGCGGCAGCATTTTGAACAAATGCTTAGGGAGACCGTGCACATAAAATAAGTGAGTTACTGTAATCAATTCGAAAAGTTTTAAAGGCATGTACGTATAAGGATTCCACAGCGATTGTGCGATAGGAACCTTCTAATGGTGGCCAGACCGTCCCGTTTTCACATTAGGACGGATTGACCGTTGGCCGTCTAGGACGGATTATTTTTCTCTAATGTGTGCGAAAGGCCAACGGAAAATGTGGCTGATGGACGCTTTTAGTAACCAAAATGGTATATCGAGGAAACTATGAAATATTTGTTTAAACAACTAATATCAAAAGGACATTCCGGAAGCAAAGATGTCATGAAGACTAACATCGAGAAATATTACAAACATTTCAGCTAATTTTACAGTGATTTTTATACTGTTTCAGGCAACGTCCAGTATGAGTCTATTTTCAAACGCAAACAAACATAACTTTTTACGGCTTTCGTCAAACGTGAATATGATGTTTCAATTAGACGTTTACGTTATATTGGAAATCGGGCGAGTTTGTTAGATCTAAAATGACGGTATTTGCCGCCTAACTGAGACAATTTCAGCAGGTTTGAATTGTAAAAGTAGCTCAGTTAATATGAACATTACTGTTATTTTAGCGGAGCGCCATGGGCAAGAAAATTTAATTTACCTATGCATCCGAGAAATTTTGGTAGTCACGTGACCGTTCGTCCGCCTTTCAGACCTCACTACAGGCATACATGTAAAATAACTCGATCAACAGGTATGGCAACCCAAATGTAACTCGAGGGTTTTTGGCGGGAGATCGCATGGCCACGCGGACTTTTAGAGAGAAAAAAACAACAACCAAGTCTAGTCTTTTTCGACGTTATTTTTTATATCTACACTCACCGGGATAACAGAGAAAGGGTTAGAGTGAGTGATTAAAAACAAAGGAGGCGAATTTCTTTGGAAGAAAAACATGAACATTTCATAGCGGCGGTGAGAAAATGAGAAATGCCAGCGGCCAGTAAGGAGCGGCCAGCAAGGTGAAAATGAGCGGCATTGAAAAAATTAAAAGCTAAGGAAGACAAGCAGCAAAACTTTTGGCGAGCACATACGACAATTCCTCCGTAAAAATGATTGTTGGCTTCGGACTACTTGTTTATGAGTATATTAACGAGAGCTTTGCTTCTAGCCTTAACTGACAAAATCTATATATTATTCCGTGTTGACAAGAGAGAATGATCTATCTTGGTGTTGACTGGTAAAGGGGTTTCTTTGTTCGTTTCCATCCCACCTTTTAATATCCGATTGGTTTATCAGTTTAAATAAACATGAACGGCCTTCTTAGCAAAAAACACACCACTTTATTAAAGACACACATCACTGACAACGTCTTTAAATGGTCGTAAAATTCCTATAGACCATCTTAACCGTAACTTATAAGTCAACGGTGGGAAAAGACCGAATATTTATACTATTAAGAAAGAAGGAAGGAAGATTAGCTAAGTGGTGACAGCTTTTCATAATCAACTTTGTATCATCAGTAAGACAACAACCATTTTCAGCGCGGGTGCGAGCCATTGACAGCGAGTACTCTTTACAACCAGTTCACTTAGTTATGCCTTCAGGATGCTCACTCTCTTCTTTTTAGAGTGAGACCTCGTGATCATTGTTTTGCGAATGAACATTTTCTGAGAGTTAAGACTAACCAAGCGTTTGGCTTTAGAATCCCTTTTGGAACAGCCTCTATATAAGTTTTAGAAGCTATATCAAAAACCACTAAAAAGGAGAGTGCTCGAGCGACACCTTTCTAAAGTGGGTCGCTCTAAAAAAGGTTGAGAAAGGTATTTATGTCAATAGACGTTTCACTGGTTTTGCAAATGATAATTTACTGAATCATGGGGCCTAGTGTCTTAAGAATTGTTTATACACCGTAAGGTTTATTTTTAAAAGCAAACACGTTTATTTAAATAACAGTGGCAAACGTGGCCAACAATTGGCAACAACTTTTTTTATCGTAGGTGGTGACCAATATTGGGAAAAGAGATCGTTTTTATTTAGTGATTGGAATTGTTTTAAAGATGATTTAGTACCTAGAAATCTCATCATTGTCTCGCTCCCACGCCTGGTCCAATCTTAAGGCTCAAAACCCTCTTAATTAAAAACTGTCATAACAGATAAGAAGGCTGTAAACAGCAGGCACGTGAAAGTAGGATCAGCGTGGATCCCCACGGCTTTGTTGGTGGGTGCTTGACAATTAGTGGTTGCTGCTGCGGTGGTAGAGGCCCTCAAGGCAAAAAGTTGATAGGAATTGCAGTAGTCAGCATTTGAGCAGCACTCCATATCACAGGAGGTGGTGTTGGCTGTTTGAGTAACGTTTTGACACATTTATGTCTTGTAAGAGCTGCAAATGCTCTGTAGATGAAATAAGACTATTGGTTATACTTAATTTTGTCAGACTATTACTGTTGGAGTAAAAGCGTGGCTACAGCAAGTTATTGCTCATTTTCGATCACAGATATCCCACGCTCCAGATATGAGAGTTCGTTCGATCTGCCGGCCGACAACAAATAGGAAAGTGTATATAGGGAAAGAAAACATGTGAAAGGACCCCTTATACCCCATTGGTTTATTTACGGGCAGCTGAAACAATGTTATCTCGGTAAGATATGTCCATTTTCCGACAATATTTCCATTTATCAAATATATTTGTATTTTTGACTTATGATTACTTAGTGCGTGAAACTCCGAGTACGCTCTCTCGTGTGACGTTTTTCAACGTACACTGGAAGAGAAATTTCTGAATCTCTGCGCGGCCACGTGATATACTCTATATTTTGTATTCGGAGTGTATTTCACCGAATATCAATCAATTGTGCATCTTGGCACTTGATGTGTTTGTCATTAGTTGTCTTGTAACCATGGAAATCCAACTCTTTTCTAATACTTCTTTCTTTTTCGTTTTTCCGCTCTCAACCTGATTGTCACAGCTTGAATGATCTTTGCTTAACGTTTCAAACAGATGGAAAATTCAGAAAAATTGTGGTTATAAACCTGCCGACGCGATATGAAGAAGAATAACGCAGTAATTTGCATGTTGATCTCATGAACTGGTTTTTAATTGACGCAAGTCTGATTACAATCCACAGTAAGACTGTAAAGTAAAGTAATTTGGCTCTTAATGCCAGTTTGAAAAGTAAATTTAGCTGAATCATGGTGCCAGGAAAATATACTCGCTTCTTCCTAAAATTTGGAGTAGACCATAAGTGTATTATGAATGTGCAACCATTGCAGCCCTGAGTATTGCCGAACGTTTAGATAGTTTTAAGAGTTCGTCTGCTTTGTGTTTAAAATGTACAATAAAAAGTTGCTTACCACATGGTAGGGCTGCCAGCGTGAGAAAGCAGAGAGCAAGTCCGTTCATATCTGAAACCTGGAAACACCTAGTAACTGGACGACTGGTAACTCAGGATGATATGGAGAAACAACGTATGGAGGTCGCTAAGAAGAATAACTTCATTAAAATACAGCCTCTTTTGTCTTGATATCTTTACAATGTATTGTTGTGATCTTGTTCTCAGTACAATAAAGTGCCAGATTCCAATGACCAGTTACAATAAGAACTTGGAAAAAAAGCAGGAAGACCTCATTTTTTATTAACTGAGAAATGTAAAGTGAGGCAAAACGATTTGTCCTTTCATTTGAGTTGCATAAAACTCAAGCTACTGACCATGTCTTTCTTACAACAAACATCGCAACTGGAAATTAATTCACGTGAAAAGGGAAGTGGGGTTGTCCTCTTAGAATAGTCATGCCATTGTAATTGGATCAGTACTAAGTAAAGAATACAAAGCCATAACTGATGAAGACTACAGAATGTGCGTATGCTTGAAATTCTTTTGATGTGTTA